TAATAAAATTAAAATTACAAACACATAAATCCAATAAAGATTAATTTCTATTTTTTTCACTGAAAATTATTATTAATGTATATTTATTGTATATAGTATAAGGAGATCCCATTTTTCGTAGAAAATAATGACGATTTTTCGTTTCTGTTTTTTTTTTAATTTATTAATTTTACATGTTCGCCATTTGCAATAATTCATCTCTCACCTGAGTTGCAACCGTTTCCCCGCAAGAGAGCGCTAGTATCGCTAACTAGAATTGAACAGAAAAAAATGTTTGGAATATACACCCATAGAGTGGAAGCTTCTTATACTACTTTGTGGCATAATTATTAAAACTCAAGAATTACAAAATTGGAAATTTTATTCATTTTTTTTTTTAAAGTCAAGTGATTGTTATTTGTTAAGGAATATAGGGAATGTGTCAATTTCATATGCAAAAATTAATCCTAATACAAATTATACAAGTTCGCACTGCTTCTTTCGCTTTTTGTCTGTATAAACTAACCTCCGGCGCCGGATGACGTTAACGATCCATATTAATGTGAATAGGATTTATTGCCTTGGAGCCACAATATTTTTTTATCCAATCAGTCAAGTTCAATTTTCCCAAGATTTTTTCACTTATTTTCTTCCTGTCATATGCTTATACACTATTATTATTTTAATAACAAAATATCTTTGATTCATTAGACACTCTTCTTCTATTGACATAAAAATGTTTAACAAATAAGGTTTTAATTTAAAATTCATCTTCTTTAAAAAATTTTCAGTAGCATCAAGTGAAATTTTTTATTTTTAGAAAATATTTTTTATCTATTAGAAAAATTTTAACATCATCATCCCTAAAAAATTAACGTTTCATTAGAAAGTTGAGATTTTTTTCAATAAAATTTTCCAAATAGCACGTAAGCTTACAGCAACCTTGTGGCAAGCTTCAAATGTCCCACCTGACCGAAAGCTTGCACTTTATTACAATTTTAGGATCGTTGATAATAATTATCAAGGTTCTACGCAAGTATAAAAAAAAAATTTTAACTCACCCTGGTAAAAAGAATACATTTTTTTTATTCTAAAATGTAATTTAAATTCTATTGTATAACGAAATATATTTCGTAAATTTTCTAATTTTCAAATTAAATGGAGAATATACATTGCGCGTATTATATGTAAATCTCCCACTCTAATTTTTCTCTTTCGAAATGCCAATCACTCTGTGGCATTTTTGCTAGGAGTGGGGGAAGCGTCTATTCCCCCACCCCTTATGCTTCACGTAACATGATTTTCTCACCATACACATTTATTTCATTCAACCGAATATAAATAGTAGAAAAATATTTCACATTCGATATAACAGCATTTGTTAGATTTTTTTTTTAAAGTATAACCATATAAAATTATGCGAAAGAAAAAATTGTCTTTCATTATATTGAAACGATCGTAAAATCTATGATTTTCGATATTGAACGTGCGTCTACGTTATGACACTTGAAACATCGGTGATAAACGGCAATCTGTCCTCCCTATATATGATCGTGATTATGATTGAGAATGATTGGATGTAACGACGAGGAATACTGAATCCTCTCGATGAATATTTACATCAGAGAAAGTAGCAATAGTCGCGCGAGTATAGAAACGATGATCTCTCCCATCTACGTGCATCATTAGTTTTGTTGACACCCCACCACTATTAATTAGCGATGCATCAGCATCGAGTGTTTCGATATATATATATATATATAGACTCCTGGCTCGTCACTTTTGTGCCATTAAAAAAAAATACTCTCTCATCAACTATAGTCGAGTCATTCTTATGTCCGTTAGAACGAACGTCCTTTCGCGGAAATCACGCGAGATGCCTCTCGAACTCGTTTCTAAACTATAAATGAGATTCTGCCAATCTTTCTCTCTTTTTCTTTCATCTTTTATTAACGTACGCAGATTGATTTCATTAGCAGGCCTCATTGAATTCAACTTTACACATCGTGTTGCTAATGCCATTACTCATTACACAAATTGCTGAATATTATATTGTGTGAGATTAAAATTAATCTTCTCCAACACCTGTTAGAGACTCTGACGTCACAAGTGACACACAGCCTAAAGGCGCACTCACATGTTTTTGGCTGCTTGTAAGTTATCATGGCAACGCATAAGAGTGAGTGCGACAGGAAATTTGAATATTCAAATTTTTTTGTCTCACTCACACTCGTGCGTTGTCATGACAACCTGCAAGTATAGGTAGGCAGCCAAAAAGGTGTGAGTGCGCCTTAAAACTCTGTGAAAAGAAAAATGGTTCTTCTTCAAAATTTAAAACAACACGTATCATTGTGAATTGATTTATATTGTAATTACATTGTAAAATTGGCCTAAATAGTTGAGCGTTAAGGTCTATTCACAATGCAAATGTATGAATGCAAGATGTTAGATTTGCATCTTTATCTTCAAGTTTTAGACTCAAGTAATTGATTCTTATAAACAGGAACGCAATCATAAACGTAAAACTGCTTCTACAATAACTTTTTTTCAAACCACATGAACAAAATTTCACTGTCAAAACAATAGGCGCGCATCTTTTGAACAGTGAATTTTGTTCATGTCAACAACAAGTCGATGCAATCAGATTAAAAAAAAAAAAAAAGTTATTGTAGAAGCAGCTTGAACACAAGAATGAGTTAGGGAAGGATAGGCGTATATATTATTGTCCTTTTCTATAACTCATTCTTCCATTTACATTTCGGATTGCGTGCGTTCCCGTTTAAGAATAAATTCAGCTTAGGCTTCATTTATTCATAATAAATTTATTAAAACTTAGTTCAAAATTTTTTTTTTTTTTTTGCAAAACACATGTGACGCGCTCTGAAGAAAGGGATTTAAAAAGCAAAAAAAAATTACATCCAAAATATTTAATAAAATCTGCTTTTGATTTTGCATATATAAATAAAAAGGAACTTTTAATCAAGGTCAAACTAGCGTAAACATAACCTATAATTCGTTTACTTCTTATAGGTTTTTTTTTTGAGCGCGTTACACATACACATACACGCACACACGAGAGGGATTTTAAGGCGATGGAATGGGTTTTTAATCAGTGTATTCCTGGACAATAGAGGTCCCCGTGGGGCACCAGCCAACCCTCGGTACCTTCTTCTTTGGCCGTGAATGTGCGTGTGTGTCCTTACCCCTCGACGTTCTGCCCTTAATATATATAGAGCACCCCCATTCTTGCTGAAAGCATCAATATATATATATATATATAATACTATACACATAGTCGACATTGCTTAGTCTAGTTTTGCCCTATGCTGTATATATATATGCAAGGTTGCATCGACCGGACGTGCACTAATTCAAATGGGGAAAATACCACGGGTCGTGGTTAATTCTGTACAAGAGGCGGGAGTGGGGGATAAAATCAGAGGGTGGTTGAAAGTGAAACCGCACTGCAATCAACAGTGGCCATATGTCACGCTAACATTAGCGCGTATACTATAGCGTCAATTGAGGGGAAAAAACTATCACTTATTTTTACTCCTTTTTTGCGTAAACACTCTATTCCTCCTCTCTCACTCTTTCTTTATTTCTTTTTTCTCTCACATTCACTATATCATTTATCAAGAATCAAATAGAAAATTTTTCGAATATAACCTCAAAATTGGCTAGAGAATAGTCTCATAAATCAAGATTAAGAGATTGGGAGGCTGTTTCGCTTAAGCTTTGCTGAATTATACAGTTCAAACACGTGCAGCACGAAAAAAAATTTATTTAATTCAAATAATCGGTTACTTGATTATTATCAAATAAATATTAATCTGAAACAAATAATTTTTATTTGCTTCAATTAAATGGTATTTGTTTCAAATACAAAAATTATTGATTCAAATACAGTTTATTTAATTTAAATAAAAATTATTTAATTTAAATAAATATTTATTTGATAATAGTCAAGTAACCGATTATTCGAATTAAATTAATTTTTTTTTTTCAGTGAGTGTCGCAGATATTAATACTTAACTAATATAGTGTGTAATAAATGATTTTGTTTAAATATTTAGAAAATTAATATTTAAATAAATTTGTGTGTTCCTTTTTTTAACTAAGAAAGTAAAGAATAATTAAAGTAACATATAACCTCACTTTTTTTTTGAAGATGTTACCATTTTAACACAGTAAGTCAAATTACAAAGTAATGGTTTCTGTTTTGACTAGTTCAGTCATACGATAGAACGTTGAAAATTTTAGGTATTAGGGTACGGTCACACTATCTCATGTATGCACTGTGCATGCATGCAGAAACATTTGGCCGGTCACACTTCAACGAAATCTAGTAAATGTTCAGTAACTTTCAAGTAATTTTCTAAAAATTTCGGTTGTAACTAGAAAGTTACTAAACATTCACTAGATTTCGTTGAAGTGTGACCGGCCAATTGTTTCTGCATGCATGCACAGTGCATACATGAGATAGTGTGACCGTATCCTTAATTAATGGTGCACTCACACCTTTTTGGCTGCCTGCCTGTCTGCCTGCAGGTTACCATGGCAACGTACGAGTGTGAGTGAGACAGAAAATTTGAATATTTAAATTTTTCTGTCGCACTCACTCTCATGAGTTGCCATGGTAACCTTCAGGCATCCAAAAAGGTATGAGAGCGCCTTAATACTAAAATTAAAATTTGAATGACCAATCTAACTGACATGATTATTAGTAAAAATTTCTTTTTATTCAAGCTATTGTCCTAATACGTAAATTAACAATTAATATATAGTTTAAATATTAATATTTTTTTCCTTTTCATATCAAAATTTTAAAAATTCATAAATTGAAAGAAAATTTAAAAGAAAAAAAATCGCACGATTTTAAAATGAAATAATTTGAGATTTTACATAATACTTTGTCATAGCAAAAACTATAACATTATTTATGAGTTTGTTTCATGATAAAAAAAAAAATAAAAAAAATTATTGCAAAGCCATTAAACTGGGTCTAGTATAAATAGAGCAGTCCGAGTCAATCATATTTACTAGTACGGTACATTTAATGCATTTGAGAATAAAATTATTTCGCTAATTCTTTGCTATTTTAAAGAAATAAATCTTTTGATAAATATTTTTGTGAAATTACAAAAAAACGTAATTTGAATCCACCATGAAAATTATCATTTGTATAATTTTATTCGTTGTATCTGTTCAATCTACTCATTATTCTGAAGGTAGTATAAGTATTCTTCATGATATATTATGATAAGAAAATTTCATTTTCATGGAAAATCAGGAATTTTTTTTTTTTTAGAAAATTCTGTAAAACTCCTAGAATTTTTCTTTAAAGACAGGAAATTAAATATAAAAATTTTGCTACTTTCAAAAATAATAAAAAATTAATAAAATTAAAATATTTCTTAGTTATATAGGAAGAAAGTAATATTAGACAGGAAAATGTCACAAGAATTTTTTTAAATTAAATTATTTGATTTCTTTTTTTTTTATTATTTTTGTAGAAAATGCTTTTCTTTTGTAAATTTATTGAAATTTGGAAAACAGTAATTTCAATCATCTTAAAATATCATGAAAATTATGATTTATTTATTTTATTAGTTTTATGTGTTTAAATTGATGATTATCAATTCTTTTCAGATGAAAGTGAAAGAAGTTATCTTGAAGAAAGATATGATACTAGAGATGATGCTGCACGTAAGTTTTGTTTCTTGCAACTTATATTATTTAAAAATTACTAAATTAAAATTGTTATAGATTTGAAATTAATTAAATAAATATATTAAAATTATTTAAACAATTATATAGAACTCAACAACTGCATCATATCGGTTTATAAAAAAAAATTTTTTGGAAAAGGTTCTCAAGTTTATACTTGTAAACACAGACAAGAACATTATAGTGACCTAAATAAAGCAAGAAGTGAGTAACAATCTGTTTCAAATTTTTTTTACATACCAAGTAATAGTAGATTAACGTTAAATTATTATTTATCTTTCTTTTTTTTTTAAATTGCAGATAAATGTATCATTAGACGTGATGATGGCTATTTCTACTGCAGACTAAAATCAACACGTAATAATTGAGTTCTTCAGGGTAATATAACTAAAAAAACAAAATGTTTTTTTTTTTAAAACTTTATATTGTTTAAACATTCATAAATTTCACTCTGTATCAATATGAATAAATAAAAAATTGTTATCAATTATTTTGTATTATTTGTAAACAAATTTTCCCTGTTATTTAGTTTGTAAACTAACAAAATCAAAATGATAAAAAATATAATATTTATTTATTTATTTAATCATAATGTACGGACTTAGAAGAATATTTACATATGGATCAATCCATTAGATTTTGAGGTTATCTTCGTCTCTTGATTCATCTTTTTCGACCTACTTTCGAGGTTATATTAACTAATTAATTCTTATGACTGATATGTTCGAAATTTAAGGTTATGTTCAAAAAAAGAACTAAAGAAATCGCCCCTCTCTTTCTTTAACACCTTCTGAGAATATAACCTTAAAATTAGGTCAAAGGTCAAGGTTAAGTGACACACAGAAACACAAAATTCAAGGTCAGAGGTAAAGGGTCTGGGTTTGAACTTGGATTGAAGTTAAAATCGGATAAGCATAACCTCAAAATGTCAATTTGTCAATTGACAAACGAACTTAACCTCAAAAATCACGGTCATATTTTAATGATTTATAGATAAAAAGGTAAATAAAAGAAGTAATGAATATCTGTAGTCTGTCGTTTGTAGGTCAATATGAAAAACGTTAAGTTTTCTTTTTTATTCATTATTTAAACAAACTAAATAAACATGCAAAATAATACTAAATGAAATAAATATAAAATAAATAAATAAATATTATAAAATACAATTAAATAAATAAAATATTGTTAATTAAAATTAAATATTTTATAAATAACAGCTCATGAAATTCTATTAAATAAAAATTTAACAAATTGATTTTGAACATTATTTCAGACGCTCCTCGACAATAGGTATACTTAAGCTCCTAAAAATGTTAGGTTCTGTTTAGTGATAGTTTTAGCTCAATAAATTTTTTTTCTTTTAATTAGGCAAAATAAAAAATAGATTTTATTTAATATTTTGGATGTAATAAAGACTGAAACATCAATGGTTTTTATAAATAGTTGATCCTCTTCTTGTATTTACACTTTAAAAATCAAAAACATAAACTAAAGTTTTACATTTATACGTCTCAATTTGAGACACATTTTTGTTTTTTTTTTAATACGTATATTTAGGTATTTTAATGCACTGATTACTAAAATCATATAGTAAAAATACACGTAAATTTGATAAATTAAATATAATCTATAGGAAAAAATAAAACTCTTATCACGACAATTCGCGTAAAAGCAACATTTTTTTTTAATCTATGCAGTAACATAAAAATAAAAAAATAAAAAGTTTTATTATTTTAAAACTCGACAAATATATGATGTATTCCAAGCCAAAGTGTAAGACCATCTGCAATTACATCTCCGATTTTTTTGAGGTTTTTTTTTTTTTAGTACTAATTGAGACTAGCTTCCATGAATTTTTTCAAATTTTTTTAGCTAGCCGTTTTCGAGTTATGGAATTTTGAAGATTGGAAAATTTTCATGACTTTTAATTTTTGAATGCTCATAACTTCCTTAAAAATGCATTAATTTTAAAAGTCTTTCTTTTCAAAATGTGTGTTTTTAAACGCTACTTTTCAACAAAAAAATCGAATTTTTTTTTAAACGATATTACTATCAAATTTTTGAATTTTAATGATAAAAAGTCAATTTTCTCATTTGACGTACTGATTGATTTTTTTCAAAATTTTTTAAAAATAACTACTTCTTCTTACGAAACTTTTAAGCCTAAGGCCGATAATGGGCAAACAATTTTTACAATATTTTCGAAATTTTTCAAAAAGTTTTGAATTTTTTAAAAATAATATTGGTTTTTTTATACTAAGTACTTTTATGTATTTTGATGCGCTAATTACGAAAATCATAGTGACAATACCCAAAAATTTGATTTTTTTGGTGAAAACCATAAAATAATCCCAAAATTTATGGTTTTTTTCGTTTATTGGATAAAATATGCAAAACTAAAAAAAAAACTTTCAAACAAAAGTTATATATCTTATTAAAATACATTTTTTATATCTAATGCATTTTTTTTAATTTTGCATATTTTACCCAATAAACGAAAAAAACCATAAATTTTGGGACTTTTTTTATGATATGCACCATAAAAATAAAATTTTTGGGTATTATCACTATGATTTTCGTAAACAGCTCATCAAAATACATAAAAGTACGTAGTTCAAAAAAAAAAAAATCGAAATTATTTTTAAAAAAATCAAAATTCCAAAATTTTTGAAAAATTCCGAAAATATTGAAAAAATTGTTTCCCCATTTTCGGCCTAGGCTTAAAAGTTTCGTAATAAGAAGTAGTTTTGTATTTGAAAAAATTTTGAAAACAATAGATCAATACGTCAAATGAGAAAAATAAATTTTTATCATTAAAATTCAAAAATTTGATAGTAATATTGTTTTAAAAAAAAAATCAATTTTTTTTATTGAAAAGTACGTTTAAAAATACACATTTTGAAAAAAAAGACTTTTAAAATTAATGCATTTTTAAGGAAGTTATGAGCATTCAAAAATTAAAAGTCATGAAAATTTTCCAATTTTCAAAATTCCATAACTCGAAAACGGCTTGCTAAAAAAAATTTGAAAAAATTCATGGAAGCTAGTCTCAATTAGTACTAAAAGAAAAAGAAATCTCAAAAAAATCGTAGATGCAATTGCAGATTGACTTACACTTTGGCGTGGAATACATCATATACAATAGTATGAAAATTTTTTTTTATTTTCTTGAATTTTAATATCAATTAAAATGTAATCTAAAAAAATATTATACTACTGCTGAGAGTTTAAAAAAAAAATGTGTAAAAGAAACTTTTATTAACTCGTGACTTGAAAATAAATTACTTCAGTAATTCTATATTGTTTTAAAGGAAAGAACTTTTGTTTTCATATTTTTGTGAAATTACAAAGAAAAGTAATTTGAATTCATCATGAATGTTAATAACATTTTCATATTATTCATTTTATCTGTTGTAATTAATAATTATCAATTAATTACTGCCCAACCTGATGATGATGATATCGAAAAAAAATATGATCCAGGGAGTAAGTTTTATTTCATTTTTTTGTAACTTACGTTTTGTATTAAACATTAGAAAATAAAAAATTTCAACAAATACATAAAATAAATATATTAAAAAATTAGAATTAAATTTAATTTTTGAAAACTTTTTAAAGAAAAAAAAAAGTGAATAGGGTCAGTTGGGATAAATGGGGACACAATCCCTATTTTTAACAAATTACGTATAAGTTTCTTCCTTTAAAAGGTTTCAAATTTTTGGGTGTAAATGGGGACAGCTTGTTATTATTAACCAAATTGACAAAAATAAAAAATTCAAGTGAATTTCTATTATCGGAGTCATAAGGAATAGGAAAAAATTTTTGTATGATTTTTAAGTCTGTTGTCTTTGAAATGCGAGATAAAATATTGAAACAGCCCTCACAGCACCGAAACTTTCCTAAAGATTTCCTAAAGATTTATTTGAAATGTTCGAAATATTTAATTGCAATGTTTAGTGAAAATTGTGTAAAGATTTAAATGTCCCACTTGAATAAATGTTTAGCACGAAACTTTCCTGAACATTTAAATGAAATTTTCGCTTAGTTATAATTATAATTATAATTAGGCGAAAATTAAAAAAAAAATGTTTTTTTAATTTTAAAACTGTAAATTAAGCTCCAACATCTGTTGTCCCCATTTACCCCAACTGACCCTATAGAGGTTTATTATAAGGTTTCATTGTAAATCTAATTTAGAATTTTTGAGGTTATGTTCACATTTTAGCTTTGAGTTTTGACAAAATTTTGAGGTTATGTTTTAACCATAAATAGCGATCTCTTGACTTTAATGACCTGATAATATTTGCATGGCTAAAAATACTACCAAACCCAAAAATATAATCTCAAAAGGTCTCCGTGTTTGAGATTATAAAATCAGGGCCAAAATACTATAACAATAAACCTAAAAAAAAGTAAATTGTTTTAGTATTTAAACATGAAATTGTGTAAAAAATTTTGAAAAATCAAATAAATATAATAAAATAATATAATAATTTTTTTAGGCCATTGCATCAGAAAGGAAAAAATTAAAAAACCATCAACTGAATCATCTGAAGTAAATCAGGACGTGTATGTTGATTATTATTTCTGTCATGGTAAATATCATGGATATTTGGAAGAAGAGATGGCAAAAAGTAAGTATAAAAGCTATTCAAAACAGTGTTATACATAATAATTAATTATAGAAATTAATGTTATATTTATTTTAATTTTACATTTTTCTCAAATTGCAGAATATTGTATTGATAAAAATAATAAAAGAGCTGATGGTTCATATATGTGCAGAACGCATCCATTTATTTGGAATGGTAAATCTCATAGTAGAAATATCGATTATAAAAATGATGATCATTCAAAGTCATTTTTGAAGGCGTTGAAAGAAATGAGACATTTTAAAAAGTCGAGCGGAAAAAATCCTGACGATGTTGAGTTCACAGGTTACGATATTAAAGATGAGGCTATAGGTATATGTTCTATATTTTTTTCAATAAATAGTACAACTTCAATCGAGCGAGCATTATAAAGCGAGGAATATACCGCTATAGTATATATAATTGAGATTTTATAAATTGTTTAAATATAAAGATTAACAAAAAATTGTTTAAATAATAAATCTTATAATATATTCATATAATTATTTCAGACAAATGTATAAGTAAGAAAAAAGTAAATGTAAATTTTGGTTCTCTATTACCAAGTCTAGAAGTTATATATTCTTTCTGTTATGGCAATAAACATATTTATCGATCGCAAAATGATGCATTAAGTAAGTAAAAATCTGCTTATAATAATGTTATAAAATAATTAATAGTAACTATAATAATAATTTTATTTGTTTTTAAATTGCAGAATTATGTATTAACCAGTTTTCTAATAATAAATATAAATGTAAAATACATCCAGATTCTTAAATATAATAAGAATATTTTTTTCTCATGTTATTCAAATAACATTTAAATTGTATACAATTCATAAACAAATGAATTT